AGGACAACAATATTCATGGGTAAAGCTACATAAATGCTTCAGCTCTCATGCTAAGGCTTGTAGAAGCTTTGGTACAATTTTCTACATGGCTTATTACCTCTGCTCACCTGACCACTTACCTATTTTAAGTCAAGTCTGTGTAAAAAGTACCATGACCTCTGGCTCTGTGTTCTCACCTTGGTGGTACATACTGGTGTTACTGGTTTCCACTGAGAGCCATACCAAACACAAGTGCAATGCAGCATTGTGCAGACAGTTGTTTAAACAGAGTTTGAATACTAAGATGTAGGGTTGGATTCCATCCTGCTTTGTAGTCCATTTTTAGACTACCTCGTGAAAATGAATGCATTCATTGCTCAGAGCAAGTCCTGCTTCATCTGAATGAGGCAGCAGAATCAGCCTCCTCATCTCATCTTTCCTCACGGGCTTCCGTGCTACAACTCCTGTAAACAATCACAGCCTCAGAAGACAAGCCTTGGCAAGAAATCCATAATTCTACTACTTTCACAAGTGTTTAAATTATATAACCTTCTTCAGTTCCACCATTATTACAGGACTATCATATTTCTCTGTATTCACTGCTGCATTATTTTACAGTACTGACTCAAAAGAATAAAGGTAGCAACAGTATTATTGTCTGCAGTGGTATACTGGATTTCATGCAAAGCCTTCAATTTATCAGTTTTCATTTTATGAAGAATAAAAATATTTGAAATCAGGGAAAGCTCTCTTAGTTGCAGCTTTTAGAAAAAGGTAAATAGTGTAAGCTTTGTAAAATCACATATATGGAAGACACCTTTCTGCCCATGTAGCCTCTATGTTAGTTATGAAACAGAATGTCATCACTTAGCAGGTGAGTCCTTTGCTATTAACCAGACAAGTAGCTTCCCTTGTGAACACCTTTATATTCTACCATGTTTCCCTCTCTCACCCTGGCACAGAGAATAAATACTGGAATACTTTTTAAGCATCAGTGAATATAGAAAGAATTTATTGTCAAAGGGCAGAAGGTATTAATTCCCTACAGTCTGCCAGAATATATTTACTTTTCAAACCATCCAATCAATGGAGGCATCTCTATGAGTTTGTGAGTTCACACCAGGAATATGCTTTTGAAGGAAATCTCCTGTTCATTCCCTCTCACCTTACTTTCTTCCACCCAGCCCAGATCAGAGGGTACAGCCAAATGATACAAAGGTGAAAGATGCACCCTACAGACTGCAGACCATCTCCTGTGCCCCAGCTATTACTGGATTTCAGCTCACAGGAGCAAACTGGAGCTAGTTCAAAGCACATTCCCTCCTTTCCACCCACTCACATGCAGTGTGGACATCAGGTTCTTGGCACCAAAGGCAAACTGGCTCTAAGTGCACAGCACCACTTGCAAATGTAGACATGGACAATATTAGCTCAAGGTGGTGGGCAGGCTGGAGCCAAATTTTGCACGGCAGGATGTATTTCCTTTTTGCATCTCAGCTTTCCTCTTAATAAAACTTCCTTTGATTAAATCATTTTAAAAATAGATCGTTTTGTTTGCCTGGGAGGAATGGAGCAAGTTAGATTCACCTATGTCAGGAAGTTCAGGATGGAAAGTTGAAGTTGCAGCAACCACAGCACGTTATCTGCATGCACAAAGACAAATGAACTGAATGTGTGGGCTACATAGTTCCCTTTATCATGTCTAGAGTCAGTTATCATGCTTATCCTGCGAATCCAACACATTTTCCCTGAAGGTTGAAAGCCTGTGTATTTATTTCAGCCTGTTTTGTGGAAGGCAACTTCATCTCTCCACTGAAGCACTTAAAAAAAAAAAAAAAAAAGCAAATTTGGAAATCACAGCTAAATTAGGGAGAGAGAACTAGGAATATAATAGACTCATAAAATGCATTTATTTAGTCTGGATATGAACTCACAACTGAGATAGGTTTTGCTGTTTTTGAAGCACTATTGTAGAAGAAGAGGGGGGATGAACCAACTCTATTAGAAGACTGAACTGTTTTCTGAAAACAACCCCAATTTTTTCTGTCCAAAAAATGAAAAATAGATGTACTGAATAGAATAAAATAGAATAGTTCAGTTGGAAGGGATCTACAATGATCATCTATTCCAATTGCCTGACCACACAAATACAAGTTTTTATAATCAAGAGATTCAGTGATGTATATTAAGAAAATTGTCCTATAAGGAATCAACACCTACAGCATTTTTTAAGTGAAAACAAGCTCAATTCACAAAAACGTAGGATTTTTTAAAAGGCATAAAAGATAAAAATATTAACATTGCAGGTTCTATGTCTAATTACTTAATAACCTACCATTTTAATGCTTCCATCTGTAACATCTTAAAGAATTAGATACTTTGCAAGAAAAAAATCTCATAAGGAAACAAAAAAAAGGCTGGCTAGAATTTGTAAAGGAAAATAAGTAGTGTATAAGACAATATATATTAGGAATAATATTTACAGTAGAAACAGCTTGGTCAAATGTAGTATTGAGGACATGGTTTAGTAATTTAATGCCTAACATTGTGGTGGTGCTGGGACTTGGGGATCTTTTGGATCTTATGGTCTTTTCCAATCATAATGATTCTGTGACTCCAACTTGGGACTTAAACTAAAAGTTATAACTAAGCAAACAATACCAAACATAATAACTTCATTTTGTGGATATTGGATGGCTTGGTGGATTACTAATGGGAGGATGTGGAAGCTTCTCTTCCACCTGAAGAGAAAACCTTTGGTGGCTTACAGGGAATATTCCTGTGCAGTTTGGTTGGTTTGCCTCAGAGATGTACATCACTGCAAGCAGCATTGCCTGTCACCTAGTTTTGCAGTTAAAAGAGAGGCTAATTGCTGACTCTGAGTGAGATACCATTTCCTCTTTAGAAGTGCTCTCTTCACTTTAAACTGGCAGAAAGGAAGAGAGAACTTATTCTATTTCCACATGTTCTGTGTCCTCTGCTACACAGTCTGCTTTTTTGTGCACCTGATGTAAGCTGAGCACGGGCTGCCACCTGAGCCAGCCTGAGCAACCAGTGACACCAGTACACCCAGTGCCTGCCGGGCCCCAGCAGTGCTGCTTCACTCAGGAACAGGAACCAAATCTCTCACAAACACCTCTGTCCATCCATACTCCAGTAGGGCTTCAGCATCTGCCTTCCCAGCTCCCACATCCCTGGCACTGCTGAAACACAAAGTATGGGGCAGAGCTACAGCTTTCCTCCGGTCCCTCAACTGTACTTGCCAGATTGCCTCAGTCCCTAAATACAGCAAGTGAGGCTGAGGAGGTGAGAAAAGCAGTGGTGCCACGTGGGAACCATAAATAATAGCAGTGCTATGACAGCAAAGCAGAAAAGAGAGTTTAAGCCCTCCCTTCACCTAAAGCCCCACTCCATGGGATCACCCACAGCATGCGATCATTTCTATTTTTGAACACAGTATTTTCTAACATGAGTCAGTTACCAATCTATTTCTGATCTGAACAGGAAGGACAGCAGAACATCCTTAATCACAGCTGAACCAAAATTAGAACAGAAAAATGGATCAGTTCAGCTCCTTTATTTATACTAACCAACTTTAGGTGTACTTATATGAAAATACATACATAAACCCCTTTTGCAGATCCTCAGTGAAGTATCAGAAGCTGGTTTAAAGAGAAATTAAAAATGCAGAATTGGGTATTGGAAGGGGCCTGTTCCTACCAAGGCTTTTACTTGGAAAGCTGTAATTCAGCCAGCCAAGCCACCAGCTAAGGGGTGGTGACAGTAGCATGTCTGAGCAACGCCTGTAAGTCACCTCTTGGTCGTTCTTTGCTCAGCACTTGTCAGGCCACAGCCAAAACACCTTTGACTGGAATTCTGTGTCCAGGTTTGGCACTCAGCATAGGAGAGAGAAAGTACACAACAAAGCTCTGAACCTCAGAGATTAACCATGCCTGGAGCAGGACTGTGAACTTGGTGACCTCCACACGCCTCTTCTGACCTGAATTCTACATTCCTGAGACTCCCACACGACACATATGTTAAAAGCATGTCATGAGCTGGTTAAAAAACAATCTAAAACAGTTTAAAAAAAAAAAAAGTCATGCCAATGTGTGACAGCAGAAGCCCTTTTCTCCATGGCAGAACAGTGATACTCTAACAACAAAAATAACATTGAAGAAAGTAAGAACAAATCCTTACTAATAAGACAATGACGTTACAGAGGACATATTATTAGAAGATCACCAAAATACACTGTATGACTGGAAATGCAATCAAGCACCAAGATGGCAAATAAGAGCTCAATCAATTATTAAATGTACAAGCTTTGTAAAAACTGCAGAAAGACTGCTGGCACTACAATCTGCTAAAGCCCTGCTGTTGGTTTTCACACTAAGTCCTCTATCTCATAATTCCTTTGGAAAACTTGCAAACAGAGAATCACAGTAATAAAAATTTCACAGAGCATTAATTAAATTAAGGAAGTATCCTGATGTAAAAAAAACAAAGTGACGATTAATACATAAATCTCTATTTCTTTTAGTCTAAAAGAAAGAAGTAATTTTCAGCACGAAGGCTACCCTTAAAGATGGGTACATATGAGGGAAACATGTCTGAAAAGGGGGAGGGGAAAATCTGTGCCTGTTCCAAGCTGTTTTGACTATTAACAACACAGTTTCAAGATAAATTCCATATGGATAAGATACATAGCATGTTTACATTTGACGTTTACAGCAGCACTTAGGTAGGTTTATAGATGTATGTATAGATAAGCACAGGGTCAGCATGGATACAGCAAACTGCTTCATACAGAGATGGAGATTTCTCATTTAGTTGCCTAGCAATAAGATCTGACTCCTGGAAGCTAAAAAATACTGATTAGAAAACAGAGTAGAATTATTGAATATATCACACAGATCATACAAAAAAGAACATAAGCCTATTGAAGAAAGGAAAGCATTAGGCCAGAAAAAATAAATTCTATTCAGTGAAATTTAACCAGGAAATATGTATTACTAAGAAACTGCAATATCTAAATTAAAGAAATCCTCAGTGTGGTCATTCTGTCAGTACTTTTCATCATTCTTCTTTTAGCAGAGAGTCCAATTCCATCTTGGCTAATGGATCTGACTTTTGAATTGCTGTGTTTAACTTTGTCCAGTCTCCTCGATAGTGTTATGAAGGAGACAGAGAGAGAGATATTTTTAAAAATTGAATAGGATGAACATGATGACATTTCTCTTCTTGGAAAACACAGCATGGTACTAATGGAACGTTTGATGGCATTTATTACGCTGGTGGAGAGGCAAAAGGCCACATTTGTGTTTTACTTTTTCACAAAGAGCTTTAAAACTGCCCTGATGCCTTTTAGCACATTTATAAGGTCTCTCTCAGTTCTTTCAACTAACGTTTTTCTTTCAGTACTTCAGCAGTAGAACAGGAAGATCACAAGCCAAGGATAGACAGCCTACCTTGAGTCCAGCACAGACCAGGAATACCCACGTCTTGGATCAGTACTAGTATTGGTCTTTCCCCCTCATAGTCTAAATTTAAATAGATTACTTGACAATAGAACTGGGGAAACAGAGGCCACTGGATAGGATTCCAGCATTATCAGCAGCATGGACTTGTAATGCACTACTCAGGCATTACATTATATTTAAACCTGAAAAATGAAGATGATTCCTCTTCCTGCTATTTCCAACCTTTCTTTAAAACATTCTGCTTTAACAAGCCTTTAAAAACAGTACTTCCCAAATCTGTTCCTGCTGGAGCTGTCACTTAACAGTATTCCATCTGCTTAGGACAGAAAGTCATACATTTTTCTCTTGTGTCCTGTTACATCAGCATAAATCTGGAGTAACTCCCAAGACTTCCTGTGTGACGCACTCGCTCGGGGTTTGCCTACACAAGGAAGTAAACATAAAGGAAAACTCGCCTCAATCTGAGCCCACTACCAAACCTGGCTCACTCCTGGTGGAAACATTCTTACCAGACAGAAAAGAAAAACAGCTTTTCCCACTCTGAATATGGGTTAAACTACTTTGAACAAAGAGAATCCTAGTAAAATCCGAAGGTATAATCACATTCCATAATGAAGTGCATTACAAAAATAAGGTTTCAGGATCAGAAGCAGCATGTCTTCCATCTAGTCATAAATATCCTGCTTCTCAAACTTTCCCTAATTCAGTTTAGAGGCACTTTTAGATATTTGATACAGCTTTGCATTTTGGCATGAAAATAACCTTTCACTGTCTATAACATACATTTTCACAGAAATGGTTCATAACTTGGTATTTTAAAAGTACTCACTTTTCCATGAATACAATGACTTTATTTCTTAACCTTCCTTTCCCTGCTGGAAAGAACTATCACACAGACTAATTAACTACATCTTAATTTGGTCTTGTACTGTGTCTCCTTTGTCCTTTTTGCAGCACTGTCAAACACCCCTAAATGGAACATAAATTATATTTACTACATGAAAGGTCATATTAAGACAGTAATTTACATCAATGTTTTTTTTTCTGTTGGTCAGATGCTATAATGATAGAAATTACACAAACATCTGAAAAGCAAAAGCAGACAAAAATGAAGGACACACAAGTGAAGATTTTGATGTGTGAATCATGGTAAGTTATTCAACCAGAGCTAATTTACTGAGATGCAAATCAATTGGTAGTTTCATTACAGTAGTCTCTGTAGTATAATAATAATAATAACAATAATAACAATAGCAACAACAGCAACAACAACAGCAACAACAACAGCAATAATAGATTTCTAATATTGTAATGACCCATGTGGCCACCACCTACATGTTTAAAAAGATAAGAAACTATAACATTTATTTGCACACATTCATCACACATTCATTAGAAGGCATTTGCTATTGACAAAGATCTGTCAATCAAGAATAGACAGTCTGGGATGAAAAGCTTTGCTCCTAAGCTTTCCCACATGGATATACATCTCAGAATAATCTGGCACTATGATAGGTCCATGTGGTCAACAGAAAAAATCATCATTTCATGGGGAAAAACTGTACAGGGAGTAGGGACACAGAGTTGTCTCTGATCTCTTGTTGATTCTCACAAGTTTTGTATACATTTTGTGCTATAAACACTGATTTCAGAGAGTTTGTGAAAAGGAGTAAATTGGGTGGAAACCTCAAAGGTGGAAGTTGTTAATTTTCTCATCTGGGGCTGTGTGGTCATCTTTGCATCTATTCTGAGATCCCAAGTACAGAATCCAACTTTTACCTTTTTTTTTCCTGTGTCGTAAGAAATAATAGCTTGAGTTATTATTTCAATTTTATGCACTGTAATTTGAACTCTGCTCTTCCCTCCCTTTTTTTTTTTATTTTGATCTCTTTTGACAAAGAAAAGTAAAATACTAAGTTTGAACTCTTAATACATTGTGAAAATAGTACACCATCCAACCCACTTTGTGTTTCTATGTCTCAAATAATATTCAAAGATCGGCTGTCAATTACATAGCAAAGATCATAATTTGTAAGGTGAATTGAAAGGAAATGGTATTTATGAATGTATGAACCAAAATACTTGATGTTCCCAACCAGGATTCAGCAATCCTGGTTGCTCATGGATAGTCCAGTGTGGAGAATGAGAAAATTAGATGCTCTGTTAAGTATTTATATATTCTGTATAAAGTGTGACTACTCTTTTCTATCTTTTAATCTAAATTATAATCAGCAAATAGCCAAGAATCTGTCTTATCAAATAAATTTCATAATAAAACATAGATAATACATATATGTAGCACAAAACAAGTTTTATTCTGGCCTAATAGCAAAGGTAATCAAGCTAAATGTACCATAAATTCTTACAGTATTGCAATCAAGGCAGTAATGCCACTCCTTCAATTGGACATCAGTTTGGTGTGTACTGTTTTAGGTAATCTCATCCTCTTCCTTTCTCACCACCAAAACTACAAACCTTGCTTTCACTATGTCTAAAATTCCTTTCAAAAATTAGTAACAATAAGGCCTGCATAAATCCTGCAATTCACTAACAACAAAAAAAACCCAATTTGGTGCAAGAGTATTTTGTATAGTTTTATCTACAAATTTGCCTACTCTTTTTCTAAGTAACCATACTTAAAACTGAGGTAAAGCATGTGTTGTACTCTCTCACTGTAAGCAGGAAATATCCATCCCACTCTCTGTGTTTGTTGTCCTGTGAGGCAAGATGTTGTCCTCTGAATTCTCCCTCTCAGAAAACACACCCTAAAAGCAAGAATCACTATTACAGTAGTCTGACCATAATTTTTTTAGATTACAGGTAATTCAAGCTGTTATCTGTAACAGGTTGTGATACCACACAGAGGAGCTGGCATCACATGAGGCCAGATCACTGACTGACATCAAAAGGGGCCAACAGTGTTTTCAGTTCTTTTTATCCAGGCAGTGCCAGCTGCATTAGCAGTGATTTCCGTTCAAAAGCTCAGTGGCAGCAGGTCATAGAGGGGACAAACAGAAGTGACAATTTTGCATCTTGTGAAAAAAAGATCAAATGATTTAAAACATCAGTGCCAACCCTTTTAAGATCAGCTCTAGCAAGCCCGAGAAGTGAAACTTCTGACATCAGTTTTGTTTGTTTACTTTGCAGCAAAGTTTCGAGCTGCAAATCCCTCTTCTGAATCCTGAGGTTCACCGATTCTGATTGCTGGCCTAGAGTATAAATGCTGAAGTGTTTTGTTGGTTTTTTTAAATTTTATTTTCCTTGCTAATTGGCTAAGCCCCAAAAAACCCAATTAATGTTTCTCAGTAATATTTACAGAGATTTTCAATCTGTAAACATAAATACCATGGTGATGTTCTGCATTTTTTTAAAGAAGCCTAAAGACTTCTTTAAGATTCTTGCTGCCTAAACCATGTGAATCAGTGAAATAGCAGTTGGAATAAAGGAGCAATAATTGACTGATCAGCTTTTTCCATACCAACTAGGATGTGTTTTCTGTTGAAATATTCTTGGTCTTGATACAGACTTGTGAAACCCTCCTGCCCTTCAAAGATTTGTGGGAAGGGACCACTATCAGAGTGGAGGAAGTCACTAATGAATTTAATGTATCAGAAACACAAATATCAGCTCTCCAAATATCGTGTCTTACCCAGAACTTCTGCAGATCTGGGCAGTCACTGACATGAATATTGATTACAATTTCTTTTAAAAGACTTTTTGTTCTTATTTCCTTTGAGAAGTGACAACTATCTCCAGCAATTATAAAGTTAAATTTCCTGTTCCACTGGCACTGAACTAGGTAAGATTACACTCAAAGGTTAAGAGGGTCTAGGAAACTTTGATAAGAAGAAAGGACTTCTGAAGTATCCAAAACATAGCTGCTAGAGGTAAAATACCTGCCCAGGTGTGTTGGGGGTTTTTGCCTGTATTCTATCTGATGTTTCTTTAGCAGTTTATGATACAACTTGGGCAGGACAAAGCTTGTTACAGATAAAATCTGTCTTCCACAACTCAGTTTCTGTGGCTTTGCAACTTTTGTGAACACAATACAGAAAAAGCTATTAGAAGGGAGCACTCTGCACCCAGAGCTCACTCCAGTTGATGAACTTGGAGTGTTACTGTTCTTGACACCTTTCCTTGCCCACCTGTTCCCCCTGTGCTGCTGCCCACAAAGTGCAAAGCAATTGTCAGTCCCTTTCACATGTATTCTTCCTAAAGAAAATACCTTTCCTGTGAGTGACCCTGTTGGCAATGCATCATCTGGAGATGCAGTTGTGTGTTAAACAGGGCAAGGATAATGTTGGTTGGTCCCAGGTAGCAGGATGGATAATTTCTTTCCATAATGCAATCTAGCTTTGTAAGAGTTCTTCCTCAGCCTGTCAGCTGGTGTGATTACACCTATTGTACCAAACTTCATGGAAAGTAAAACTGAGAAACAAAGTCTAGGGTACTGGAAAAGAATGAGAGTTTTTGAAGATTCATTGAATATAGTTACTGTTTTACTCCGCTTTAGAGGCAGACACCTTTAGTCCTTATTTATCTGTATGAGGTAAACTGCTCTGCTTAAGTTCTCTGTTGTTTCTATGTGGGTAAACACAGGAAAAGTTATCTTAATTATCTTTTTAAATGACCGCTCAAATGGTGCTATATTTCTAATCAGACCTTCTTACCGCTCAAAATTAATTTGGCTTGACTGTTTTTGTAATTTACTTAGAAAGTGCTTTAATAATTTAATTTAAGACTCCTGGCTGAAAGTATCCAAGTTCTAATTTTAATAAATCCATAAACTGTGTGTGTTTGGACTCATCTTCTAGAGCATTCTCTTGCTGACACATCCTCATCCTTGTACTTTTTCTGTTTGTTACACTGCTATCATGGTTCTATATCTGTTTAGTGAAGGACATAATGTGAGTATATTTACCATATGGTTGCTGGGAGCAAGATGAATGGGGAGCTGACTAAGAATATATTTATTACTTATTCACCAAGCTAACTGAAGATAGAAATACTCACTGGCAGGAATAGTTTTAAAACGTTATTTGTAAATGTAAATGATTTGGCTTCTTTAGATACTTTAATCCCTTACAGGAGTAAGAATCTGAGCTTGTGCTGAGATTTTTCTAGTGCAGTTTCTGACCTGCAAAGGTAGACAAACTAAACTGCCTCCTTTAATCAGAGCAAGCTTTAAACTTTCCTTTTTTTCATAAGCTTTTATACCAGTTATTTAGGAAACAACAATGACAAACCTGCTATTTACTAATGGAACCAGATGAATTATGAGGATGTGAAGCCAGCACCCCATAGCTGTGCTCTCAGCTAACTCTCTGAGAGCTGCTGCATTCAATAAATGAGTCAATAAAGAATACAGTATGGATAAAATACTGAGTGAAATTCATCCCAGATAAAACTGACCTTAAGTCAGTGGTTATGTCCTTTAGTGTTTGTTTAGGAAATAAACAGAGTTCCACTGCTAAAAACACAATACTAGGATTTTGTAGAAGGAATACCAGGAGTTTGTAGAAGGAATTAAAGCTTTTGGTTAGCTCAAGAGTGGGGTTTATGTCTCCTCAATACTTCAATCCCAGGAGGCTCAGATCTCGCCGTATCTGAAGAACACCTAACCCAGAAATTACCCGTAGAACTTACCCTGTATAAACTTTTGTAAATTCAAGCCAATATCATCTCAGTCTAGGGATCCAACTATTCACACGTAAAACAAATGCATCTGTGGGCAGAGGACTTAACTCAGATTCACTGCATGTGGGACTTCTGCTGCCTCAGACACACAGCATGTAAATGCTAAGCCTGGAATTCTTGCAAAATTAGTATCATTTCGGAAAATCATTTATGTTAACCAGAATAACTACCTACGATTAAATTATGCTTATTTATACTGTTTCCACTTAAAGAAAATAAACCACCACCACCACCAAACAAAACCCAGCAAAACCCAAAGCAAACAAACACCCTAAACTTAAACAAATGACCAGAAAAAAAACAGAGAAAAAAACACTTCCTTTTTACCAAGGAAAAAATCGCTCCAGTTGGAGAGTGCTCTGTTTACAGGCATTTTACAATAAGTACATGTACAACTGAACTCCCCCATATCCCCATATTCACCTTGCAACCCTTCTTGAGATTGTTCCCCAACCAGAATACAGCGATTCCCACAGCTCCATGTGAGGCTGCAGAGCCAAACAAGTCCCGAAACTTGCAAAAGAACTAGGTTTTCAGAGTCTTTTCTTTTCAGACCTTCCATTTTTACTCAAAATTTCACAAAAGAGAATACAGAGAAATGGTATTCAAGCATACGTCTGAAGTATTTTTTACTTTTTGTTAATGATTATCAATTTTCTGTTCATTAAACTTGTGAAGCTGGCTAACAGGAAATAATTCTATGGTGCTGAAATGGCTGGTATTGCCTCAGAGAATTAATTATTTTCAATCCACAGATCACATTTAACATTTTCATAGAATCATAGAATACTTTGGGTTGGAAGAGACCTTTAAAGCTCATCTAGCTCTATGCCCCTGCAATGAGCAGGGTCATCTTCAACAAAATTAGGTTGCTCAGGGTCTTGTCCAACCTGTCCTTGAGTGTTTCCAGGGATGGGGCATCCACCACCTTTCTGGGCAACCTGTGCCACTGTTTCACACCACATTGTAAAGAAATTCTTCCTTATACCTAGCATGAATCTACCCTCTTTTAGTTTAAAGCCAGTGCCCTCTGATGACTTTTGTGGCCCTCCTCTGGACCAGCTTTTCTGTATGACATAAAACCATGGCACATGAAGCCAGAAATACCTACTAGTTAATAGAAGCCACTTTCAGAGTCAGATCCAACCTTCTTTCTTTTGAAACATCTGACAGTCTTCCAATGTTTGTCCTGATTTAGGTCATGTTCTGGTAGTGGCTTTGGTTCTCTTCTCCCATCTCTCTTCCCAAAGCACTTCCTTTATGCAATTTCTTTAAAAACAAAAGAGATTTCACCAAAATAGGGAAAAAATTACAGCTGCACTTGAGCAGCTGCACTCGCTTTAAGTGGATTAGGGGCTAAAGAATGACAGTATAAAATTAATATACAGAAATGCAAAACAATTTTAACATACTCAAAGTAGGCTAGATTTAATAAAGGGAACCATAGATCAAACAATGGAAATGCTCTTTAATGTAATCTAATGGTTTAACATTCTCAAACCTACTTAAAAATACAGGTTTGTAATAATATGCTCTTACATACAAATAATATTTTTTTTAAAAAAATTAAAAACATGTTTTGAACTTTTTAAATGTGTAAAAAGGGAAAACAGAAGGACTTCACTGCCTTCCAAAGGTTAACCTGGATTTATAACTATTTGCCTGATTTCCCTGTGTTTCTGCTTCCTCCTAAGGACTGAAAGGCAAAGTAGCTTTTCCTCATTCTTTTTTTCACTCAAGTGGATCTTTTATCCTTAAATATCAGAAAATGTGGTTCTATCAGAAATCTAGCAGATAATGAATGCTTTCTTTTTTTCATTAATAGAAATCATATTAACAACAACCACTAATAATTATTACGCCTGAATATTACCTTAAATTTTAAGAAGACATTCTGTGCTTCTGCCCATGGAAAACTAAGGCACAGAGCAAGGAGCAGCTCTTTACATCCAACAAAAGCCCTTTGCTACAAGCAGGTAAATGTATATAAATGTTCTGTGGTGTATTCCTATTGTTTCTTCACACACAAACCACGACACAGCATCCTCTTCACTGAGAAAGAAAATACGAAATTAGATTGGTAAGATCATGTGCAGCATTTCAGTAACAGTAATTTCCCACCCATGCTTCTGAGTTCATCAATAACAGATATTTTTTAAGGAGTAATGCAATGCAGCTATAGGACATTCAGATGCTCTTCTAACTCAACCAACTGTACTTTGTGTTCAGCTGCAGTAGGTATCTCTGAATATGATAAGTATTTCATATAGAAGATGATTGCCACAAAACCACTTAAGCAGACAGATTACACTGGAATCAAGCCAATACATCCTAAAACTGATACAAGGATTATTACTTCTTAAACACCATACAATTAAACCACAGAACTCATTGAAATGTGCTACTAGAGGGCCTAAAAGCTGTCAAAATTAGACATTAACATAGAAAATAGAAATTTTAATAACTATAAAAATTACAAATTATAGACATGCTCTAAGGTAAATCAAACATGAGCTGGCAGTGGTTAGGAGAAAGAAAAACTCCTCTCCTAGCAAATAATGAAAATTAAAAATTTGAAATCTTTCCTACTTTATTGTAAAGGTGGTGCTAACCAATGCCAGAAACAGAACACTGCAGCACAGCACACTCACTCTGCTGAGCTAAGGACCATGAAAAAATATGTCATTTTAAAAAACTAGAGAATGTGAAAATTTTGCAGCTTATATATTTCACTGAACTGGACCTGATGAGAAGACAGTCACTGCTGGGTTTATTTTTTGGTTGGTTTGTTGTCCTAAACCATTCTGGGAATACATATGCAATCTTCCTCTTTGCAAGTTATGATGATTATGCATTAGTACAATTATATCAGCTAAAAATATTCCCAGTTCTAAATAGGCCTGTGAAAGCAAAGCAAGCTGTGCTGCTATGGGCACTGCCTCGCTTCCCTCACGGCCTGTACAAACACTCCCTGGTGAAATCTCACTATCTCTGACACTTGACTATTCCAGGCAGTTTTCACTGGCTAATTCTCAAGTCACACCCCAAGTATCTTTCCAGATTTCAGAGGGAGAACCACCGTAAGAGTCCTGTGCAATTGTAACTGCCAGACATATTGTTACACTTGAGAAATCCAGTAAGTCTTCTGAGTCTTAAATTGGGAATCAGGAGGTGGATTTTTTAATATATTTTTTTAGTGTGTCTGGTTCTGAGGAGCAGGAATCCAGCTGGTGAGTTAAGGTATTAGGTGCAGCATTTCAGAAGACACCGGAGTGAAAGCAAAATAATTTATTATATGGAAGGCTCAGTGAAATCTACTGCAAAGGATTTTCCAAAGGAAGGGGAAAGAGAAGGGACCTCCCAGGTGGCTTAAACTGTACCACTGTCTAGAAGGGTAGGAATGATCTTGCCTCAGTGAGTATTGTTAAATCAGTGTCACTCAAAGTCACCTCTACAGATATACAGAAGTTTAATAGCAATACTCTGCAAATTTAAATCCTGTAGAGAACAAGCACAAAGCCTTCTGCAATGTTTTGACACCATCCATGCTATATTGTACAATTTAAGCACATACCCAGTGTATTATTAGTGCATTTTTCCAAGAGACAATGCAAACAATTCCTCTAAAAGTCAATCTGCACAGTATGAATGGGTTTGCTGTTAAGAACATTCTGCTTCAGTAGAAGTGCCAAAAGAAATGTTTAAATGAAAAATAGAGGTGTATTTTTCAGTTTGGGTTTGGGTTTTGCTTTTTTTTCTTTTTTCCCCAGCCCTTTTTTTTCTATAGTACAGCTCTCCTTGAGACAGGCTTCTATCACAGGTAAAACTAAACGAGTACATTTCACATTTGGTTAAATGTGTGTGCCAGCTACTTCATTCATCGGGTGCGTCATGATGGCTTCGGAGAAAAATAAGGCTGCGAATAAAGGCACAGGCTGAAAAACTGTTGGGGAAATTAGAAGGTGCAGGAGGTGATTATGTTGGAGAAATTAACATGGAATAAACTAGGGTGTGAATTGCCAGTGCATTACTTACTCTGCAGTAATTCTCTACACGGGTGCTTTGGCTCACATTATCTGCATGTCCACGCTGCTTTAATGGGGCACTCTGAATAAAGGCAGCCCAGCCAGCCCCCTGGCCAGCATGGGATGAGATGTGCAGTGCCACACAGCCCCAGCCACCCTGTCACCAGCACTGTCTGGAACCCCCACCCAGCAGGGCCCAGCCTTGGAATCACTGCAAGGCAACCTATTACACCGGGTAAGTAGTGGTGATTCCAGCTCGGCAGCAGTAAGGGAAAGCTCCCAGCTCTGAAAGCTCCTTTCCCACATCTCATGGGCTCTTTCCATAGGAGCCTGCCCGGCTTCTGAGCTCTCCCATATGTGCAGCAAGGGACATCTCTCTTCCTCTCAGCCAGATGATGCATCTGAGCAGCAACTCCTGCTCCTGTGCCACACAGCCTGCAACGCAGAGGGTTCCTCAGGACACTTGATAGACATCCCTTCTCAAAATAACCGGTGCCAGTGCACTCAGGCTGGAATTATGCATCGATTCTGCAAGTTCAGACTTGCAGGAACAAATCCAGAACCACCACTATGCCAATTGGAAACCACCTGATTTGAATGAAAGCATCACTGGTGTCCAGTGCAAGCAGAGGAGAGAAAGGGGGAAAATACAAAGGGGAGGTAGAATTTGGACAAATCACAAAGGGGACTGATGGATGCAAGGTGGCACTGCAACTGCTAGACATAAAATTCCTTTTTGGTTTTTTTGTATGTTTCTTTGGTTGGTTGGTAGGATTTGTTTGTTGGGAGGACAGGGGCTGTGGGGTTTTTTTGTTGGTAAAGTCAAGGGGATAGACCGAAAAAAAGATTCTTTAGGTAATTTTTTTCCCAAATAGTCAAACAAACAATTGGGCTGCTACATTCTCAGATATGAATAATGGTGTCTCCCATGCCAAGAAGTGAAGGAATTTAAGGAGAAGGTGAGATGCTTGAAATAGAAGGCATTTCACAATTTTTTTTGTCCTCTGCATTATGGTTCACTGCCTTCATCAATTGTATTCATGCAGCAGGTCTCTGAGGCTGACAAAGTGTGGCACATCTGAAGGGATGCTATGAGCAGCCAAGCACAGAAACTTCTTTGGTTCTCACCTGCCAAAGTCAGTGTGAGCTATGGAACACCATATATCCTGCTGAATCCTTCAGCATTCAATCCTAAAAAAAAAGACCATAGCTTTAAGAAAACATTGCTGTTCTCTTACTGACCAAATGTTGGGGGATTTTCTGTTGTTATAGTAATAAGTATTTTATAGTATGCTTTAAAATAAACAATGAAATGTGACACTTTGTCACTATGCACCTACGATGTTTTGCAGGTTTCCCAATCTGTTCTCTTCCTGTCCTTCCCCCCCAAATATATATAAATTCTTAGTTTTCACTTACAGTTTAACAGCACTGGAATGCTTGTGCTGGAAACACTGAATGAGAATATTCTGCCACCCAATCCAAAACAAAACCCCTGCTTTCACTTCTGTTTTTAAGATTTGCAAGTAATTTTTTATACTTTTTACCCTGAAAATGTTCAATAACCTTCATCAGTTTTAACACTGGTTTAAATCTTGTTGACTTTGCTGTTTCCTCTGTTGCTGAGGCCCACTGTCGCCTCCTTTCAAGCTGGATTCCATGGATTTCAATGGTGTTCTGCACAGTTCTGTTCTTGCAGATTTACCCGTGAAGTCCAAGCTGTTGCAGTAGTGTGGTTGTTACATGTGGCAAAGTGTCATTATATAAAAATGGTTGTTACATGTGGCAAAGTGTCATTATATAAAAATTCTGGTATGACAAGTACGTGTCACAGTTGTGTCACCTTTATTTAACATGTATGAGCTTGAAGATTTCAGGTAGTTTGTTTGAGATTTTCCTTAACACAATCCAGTGAGTAAATTATGCTTAATGCTTACAGGTATGATACGGGCAAACTGCTTAATGCTTACAGGTATGATACGGGCAAACCTACCTTGAAGAAGCTTCATCCCAGAGATGCAACAGAAATACTCCTGTATGACAGCCCCCTTTAGGCCTTACATAACCCTTGGGACACGATGGCACGCTGTGTTGAAAGCATTAGGAATGAGGTTGGCTTAGGAAAGAAGCTGGAAGTCGTGCAGGATCATGTGTTGGGACTTGCCATCTGCACAGCTCAGGAGTTACTACAAGGATCACTTTCTCCCAGTCATCTGAACCGTGAGTCACACAAACCGAAAGCGGAAGGCGGATGTGTGAACAAAGCAGATGTGAATGTTCCTGGGGCTTCTACTCACCTTTCCTGAGCCCTTGTTTTCTGCCCTGCCCCATCCAGGGCAACTACATTTAGACCTTTGGGAAGGTAAAGCTAGCTAAGCTACCTTAGCCACCGCCTGGGATGATGGCCGGGCTGTTAAAGGATAAAACCCCTCACGGGTGAGTCTCTGGAAGTCTCCATAGTCAAACTTCCACCTAGAGCTGGAAGCCTGGCCATCTTTGTTTTGTTCAACTGAGCAGGAGCAGGAACACTCCACTAGCTGATTGCTTACCCCGACAAACACGAATGTGTTTTCCGAGCCCTGGTTGTCCGAGGGGTGTCTGCAGCCCCGGACAGGCCGGTTCACGGTCAAAAGCACATGCAGAGAAATAGTTTCCAAACCCCAAAAGCAAACCTGAAACTGGATCTGTACAGACAGCCTCCTGGAGCTCAGATAGCAAACTTCGTCCACCGGGTCTGATTGCAAGCTCAGGGCTACCGTCTACTATCGGCTCATTTTTTTTTACCTCAGCCGAATCCGAAATGTGGGCTGACGGAGGAAGCTTAAATAAATTTATTGAATAAAATTTTAAAAACTCCAAACAAACAAAAATCTTATGAACATATATACTAGCATATATATTAAAGTACCCTTCTGTGAACGTGCCTGCAGCTCCCACGGCAGGCCCTTGGCTCTGGAGCTCTGGGAGAGCTGCAGCTCGGCAGCGAACGGTGCAGGAACACGGCGGCCGAGCAGCCGCCATGAAGCAGCTGCGCCACTTGCGCAGACCCCGATGCCCTGCGCGGCGGCGCCGGCAGCCCCTGGCGTAGCAGCGTTCGTGAATATCGGTGCTGCACTGCGGCGGCGGCACGGCGCAACCAAACCTCCTCCCTCCGCCGCCCACCCCGGTCCTGGCACCGCCCCCTTCCTCGGCTGTGATTG